ATTACTTTTTTTAATTTGTGTTTGCAATGGGCATTCTGTTAGAGAATGCAGTTTGAGTGAGGGCTTGCTTATTTACTGTGAACCTGCACTAAAGCGGAAGAGTTTTACACCTGGCTTCTGGAGTTGACCAGCCGGCTTCCTGTGTTTTAAGGAAAAAGCTTTCCTGGTCGACAGGTTGCTGCTGTTATCACTTCCTACACGCGTGTGTAAGTGTCTGTGCCTATATATCTCAAAGATGCATTTTATAATGCAGTACTCACAATTCCTGAATTCTTTCTACTCGGCTCCTGTTAATCTTACAACTCAAAGCCTTCACGGACATGCATCTGGAAGCTTGCCAGAATGTTCTTTCAATGGCAAGCAATGTGGTTTAAACTGGTTAAAACTCCAGCAGTTGCACACTCTCCAACCTGTATGAAATATTATTTGGAATTAAATAAGAAATGTGCATCCTTCCAGAGAGAGAGTATACATTCCGTTCCAGATGCAGGGAAATTTCTATGCTTCAGTGCCATGCATTTGTGAAAGTCTGGTCTGGATACTTTTGAGTATAGTGATTGGTTTCTGCATGTATCAGACATCTGGCTGACCAAAACAATTGCATTGATCCAAGGCATTGCATTCTCAGTTAAATATTCCAATTGGCAATACATCACACATCTTTGGTCCTGAGTTTCTATTATGTCCTGCAAACATTTGAGGGTAGCCTAAGTAGCTTTGTTGTTCAAGAGAACTGTTGTGAATGCTAGTATTCCATCACTGTGGTCGCAGCACCATTAAAACCATTTTAGCTGATGAAATCACTTTCAATGTATTTCTTGACAATTTGCAAAGTATATTCTCTTCATTTGGACAGTATATTAAACCTGGATTACAAAATCAGCACTGCCACATGGGCATAATTTGGCATTAATAACAGCCAACAAATGGCAAGGATCCCATAAGTAGATTATTTTGAATTCAGGTTGAGCAGACCTGGTACACCTGCCCCATATATGTATCTGCAGGAGATCACGCGATAAACCCAACTATTTCTGCCAAATCGTATGCTACTTGAAATATTTTGAAGTGGACAGTGGGAGAAAATGAATCACATACTCGCACAAGGACTTTCATAACCATCATATGCCCATTACCTTTTGTATGGTCATAAAAGCTTGAATGCAATGAATCTCTGGATTCATTGACAGTAAGACCCAGCTTTACATCAGGCATTGCATCTAAATGTTCCTGGTAAGTTAATGGTGCATAGTAATAGGGATTGGTGTACACCAATTACTTTCATCTTGGCTTAATGGAATGACTGATATTCATAGCTCACAAATTCATGTGAAGCATCTTTATGCCTATATCTTTTTAAAAAAAACTTTAGACCTCATCAACTAATTTGACCTTTTGCAGCCATGAACAATGTTGCTCATGGGTTTTGAACTGTGTATGGAAAGCAGTGTCGATATAAATTCATAATCCTTGCATTTGATGTAGCAACTTATCACGTCTTTGAGACTTCTCAAAGCACTTCAGGATATACTGCAAACTGTGTATTTGGGGGCGATATGCTCGTACTTTACAAGCGATTTTGTCAGAAATGTTCAGAATTACAGTTCTTCAGCATTTGCAGAAAGTCAACTTTCCTTTAATGGTTTCTGTGACAAGGACGCAACCATTTGCTGGTTTTAGTTCTGCATTCCAGATTTGCAATGCCCCACCTTGTAAGCTCCCGACTCCTTGCGGAATGTTGTCTCTCTTAAAACTACAACTCTAAAAAAAAATTTCATGTGCTCAATATGGTAAAAGCTGCTTCCTTTGTGACACTGGTTGGTCACCTGTTATCAACACTTGGACAACATTTCACCAGTTTCAAAAAAAAAGTCTGTCAAGAAACATTGGAGTGGGGGTAAATAGTGAAACAAATCCTGCAAGCCTCAATTATAGTGTTCCTAAAATATGCTTCAACATTCTTCTCGACATAAAGCAGGAATATATTGCCATAAATTAAGTCAGCCTTGTTTATGTCTTTCACAAAACCAATTATTGTTCAAAAGTCAGAAATGTCAATTTGTGACTGCAGGTCATTGTTGAAACTAACAGGTCACCATTGCTATTCAGCTCGTCAGCATATAAATGGCATACCATTCATTCCTCCTGTCAACCCAGGAAATGGGGCAATTTTCATATATTTCTTTGGCAAACACAGGTTGAGTAAATTTTTTTGTTTTTGACTAAAAGAATGTTTAATATTGTCTAATATACCACAGTAGAGAATTCTGTCCTGGAGACATCTTGAGACCTTGATTCATGCCAGTGAATGGGTTTGGCCAGTCAGCCATAAACTGGCACAATTAGTTTCTCTGTGATTTGATGATGAAATGTTAGCTTGATCTGAAATCTGAGTGAATATTTCATGATGTTAGCCTAAAATTGGCATTATAATATATTCTGAATTATCAGTACCTACTGAATTTTGTTTGTGGTTAATCCAGATAGTATGGTGGAATGTTCTTGTTATCGTCTTGTTCTGCTTTTGTTACAATCTTGTCCGCAAAGGTACACACTCATGTCTATCTGGAAATGCTGGAATTTCTTCAGGCAAGATAATTGTGCAGGATTACATGATAAGTTAAAACAAAGAGGCGAGATGACTTGTTCTGCCTGTCACGCACATACTCTTTTCATCAGCTTCATCTGTGAACCAGCAGTAACACGATCTGTACATGGCACATCTCCATGAACTTGGGACTGTGAAAAGACTTTTAATAAAAATAAAGTTGGGTTGCCAACATTTTAGCTTACAGTTTTAGGGTGAAGGACAAAACAGCACCTCTACGTGGTTGTGGTTTTGATTTTGATTCTTAGCTCATAAATGTGGTTTGTGGGTTGAATACTCTGTTACCTAATTCTAAAAGTGTAGGCTGGCGATGCAGTGCTAGGGAGCACTATGTTATTGTAGTTGTTGTACTTTAGATGAATCATTGAGCTGAGATTTTGTCTGCCAGTCTAGGTGAAACATTAAGTGAAGAGAATTGTTTTCCCTGTGTCCTGACCAACCAAGATAAAATTAGTCATTCACTTTATGGATGTTTGTGGAACATTGAAGCATCAGCTACAAATAGTCACAACACTTCCGGTAGAGCACTTTGACATGATATCAACATGATAGGTGCTATATCAAATGCAAAAACGGTATCCTCATTGTCCTCAAAATTTTCACTATATCACCAGCACAAGGTTTATGATGCAGTATTTTTGGTGTTGATATAAAGGTGCAAGGAGCATAATGCAGGGCACTACCAGGGTTGAAAAGAGTAGGAAGAGAGAGGATGAAATTGAGAAGGGTGACGCTAGACTTGTGTTTTAAAAGCCTTGAAATTTGAGAAAGATGAGCATAGGGAGAGACTATCCTTGGAGAGAATAAATAGTAAAAGACTGGGCAATTGATTCTTTAAGAGAGACTGTTTGGAGCTTGAGAGGAGAATATAGAGGAGCAGTGACCTACATGTATTGACAGACAGATGACAATGGCTGCAATAGGAAGAGAACCCATCTAGTTAGGTGATAGAAAAATAATTTATAAATTATGAGATTAAATATTTCCTACCCAATAGTCTAGGAGGGGGTCAAATGGAACTTCTTTAGATGTGAAGCAATCTTCAAATAATAATAACAATAATCCTTGCATCTGATATAGCGCCTCATCAGGTCGTTGAGACCTCACAAAGCGCTTCCCAAATATACTGTATAGTGAATTGACTGTATATTTGTATAATCATGGTTTCATGATTGTTCAGGAGGAAGTAAATCTGAAACTATAATGGAGTTCCATTTGACATTTAGGGAGATATTGGGGGCAATTTAGAGTTACAGTGAAGTCAGTGTATTGTGGGTTTGGTCTTGCGGTTGCCTGCTACACTGACTTCTTGCTTCAGGTGACCCCGGAAATGATCGCAAGAGACATCGCCACTGACTGGCTAACGTCCTGTGCACAGAAACTTGGTGATGTCAGTTGTGATCCTGATAACCCCTGGAAAACAAATGTGTGTGGCCACACTGTAATGTGTCCATTATAACATCTCATTTTTAAGCTGTTGTGCTAAAGCTATCTTGGGTAGAATGGAAGCAAACATTTTTAAAGGAGAAGAAAAGTTGGAATACAAGCAGGAGACACTAAAGGGTAGGCTAAGAACTGAATAATTGCATTTGGAGAGCTATTAACTGGAACAAAGGCATATTTAATCAGGAAAGTGGGAAATCTAACAAGCCTAAAACTTAATATTGATCACAGTGATAAAGTAAAATGGAGAAAATATTCCTTGTATTTGGTATACTGCCTATAACATTGAATGTCTCAAAACACTTCACAAAATTTCCGTAAAGTGTAATCCCTTTATTTGTAGCTTTTTTTTTACATAGAGAGAAGTTATTTGGAAATAATGAGTTATTTCCAGGTGGTGGTGAAAGAGCATATTACAGTGATGCAATGTGTTCTCTGCTTCTACTTTTTCCACAAACATATTGGATTAAAAACTTTTCTACTTTGTGAGAGAAATCCTCCAAATCCTTTTTCTGTCCCGCTTAGAGACCCAGAGTTATTCAATTCCCAAGATTATATTTAAAGCAATAGATTTCTTCAATAGGTTAAGTTGCACCAAGACTCTCTCCTCTTGATGGGCGCTATATAACTGCAAGTTATTGTAATAGATTTCCCCCAAAAAAATGCGGTTAGCGAATGGGAAAGTAGGAATGTGCACTGGCTTCCTTCACAAAGTGATGTCAGCGGTGCTTCCTGCACTTATGTTGCATGAGCAATGCGTAGGATATTATTTCGATGGCGACTTGAAATGTTGATCATTTTTAATTCTCGGGATGCCAGCCTCTTCATGCTGAAACTCACCCCAGATTCACAGGGAAGCCACCTTCTAAGGGGTGCCTCGTAACAGAGTAGCCTTACATTTTCAAATTCAGGAGTGATGTGCCTAAACATACATTTTTGTTCTCATCAGGCATGGCAGCTGAGGTTCAGTCATCTTGTGGGATATGGTGCCAAGTACTACTCCTACCTCATGTCAAGAGCTGTAGCCTCCATGATTTGGAATAAGTGTTTCCTGAAAGATCCACTTAACAGGTAAGTGATATACAGTATTAATGTAATAAATAATCCTTACATTTGATACAGCCCTTTTCCTGAGGATCATCTGAAAGTGCTTCACAGGATGTAAAAAGTATTGACTGTACATTTTATAGGCAAACAAAATTGCATTGGAGAAAATTTATTTGGATTTTAGTCCATTACTTTAAACTGTACCTCACAAACCAGTAATGCTCTTAATTTAAGAAGAAAATTTTACAGAACTGCGCTTTCTTTGTTCAAGGAATAAAATGTTTGAGGAGAAACAGTCCCATTTATTGTAAATGCAAGCCTGTTATTACAACCTGTCTGGGAGCACAGTGCTGGAATATACTTAAAACTGGCAGGACAAGATAAATACTTTTTTTTCATCTGACAACTGTGTTTGTTGATTGAGGTGTTCCAAAATGAGCAACATGAGTGTTTAGTTTGGAATGAGATTGAGTATTTTTTCATCTAATTATAGATGAAGATAATGATATTCTATGTGGAATGCGATGGTTCTTAAGCTATCGAGACCATTAAAAATTATCATGCTAGGGAAGTCATATTAATTGTATAACATGTAACATTGAACATTCTGGAGGTTTGATTGTTTTTTTCTTTTGAAGAGGCATGATAAATATTTACTATCATTGCCCAGCAAGTTGTCTTCCTCTTCCCTGGAACCGCATGTGTGTAGTTATGATCGGTACTTGTCTTTGTACACACGTGGCAACATAACTTGCATTGATATAGCATCCTTCATCTAGAATAATGCCTCAGATCACTTTACAGTGGCGTGGGAAAGGGGAAGTGACTATAGGTGCAGTTGAAGATGTAGGCTTTAAAGTGGGACAAATAGAGAGGTGGGGTCAGGGCGAAACTGAGGGATTCCAGAGGGAATGAAACTGATGGGTTAGTGGGTGTAGAGTAAGAAGACATGGCCACTAATAGTGGCACAAGGGATACCCAGTAAGCCTGACTTAGCCAAGTGGAGGGGGCAAGCAGAGGAGTTAAGCAGGAGATTGAAGTTTAGTGAGGTCCCAGGGCAGGGGTCTCTAGTCGATTGCCACTAGGTGTTGTCTCCACCATAAGCAATAAAAACAAGAGGAAGGAGTGATATTTACTGCAGTTTAAACATTGAAGTTTATGTTTTTATTTTGAGATGCATGAAATGCTTTGTGCACCTGGTTTCATTTTCTTACGGACTAAATAAATATATAGTTCTATCGCTTTCTTCCTTTTTTTTATCATGTGCGAGATTGCCACCTATCCGAAATCGACCGATTGGAGGCCCCTGTGCTAGGGCATGTAGAGATTTATAGGTGAGAATGGCCACTCTGGTGAGGTAGTTGAAGATAGCTGAGTGCTTCAGGATTGCTTACACCAGTTAACCTAGTTAGACTCCAGTAGTACCCCAACACACACTCTGGGGTCCCCAAACCTTGGCTCTTGCCAACCTGCTCTTAATACTCTTTGGAATTCAGTAAGTGGGATGCGTCTCTCCAAGGAGAGAGTGGGCGTTCTATTCCGATAAATATCTCTGGAATTTCCATTTGGAGTAGACCAAATGAAAATGAAACCAGGTGCACAAAGTATTTCATGCATCTTGAAATAAGATGGGATGCATGGAACGTCCAATTTGGTTTGGATACTCGATGATGGTTTTTGCATGTGTTAAACCCGGCTGACCCCAAAAATAGTTAAGCTGAGGCCAGATCTACAATTTACTATTGATAGAATCCAAATGTGAATACTGTAGAAGGAAGCCATTCAGCTGATTGTGTCTGTGCTGGTGTTGTTCCTCTCCTCGTGCAATCAGGGTGAAAATTACAGACCATTCTTGACTTTGTTACAGTGGTTAGGCCAAAGTCACTTGGGTCTTCTTTGGATTTGACCAAATAAAATTTTAAGCTTGCGTCCAAATACCACGCTTCTCAGCTGGTTTGACTAAAGTCCTGTCTGCCTGTTCAATTAAACTCTAAAGATCCCATGGTACAATTCAAAACGATAAGGAAATTTCTCCTAGTGTCTTGGCTAATAACTCCCCTAATAAGATTGGCCAGTCATGTCATGGTTGTTTATGGGACATTGCTGTGTGCAAATTGGCTGCCGCGTTTGACTTCAAAAACACAGTGAAGCACTTTGAAACTTTTCAATGATGTGATCAGGCACTATATAAAATGTAAGGATTATTAAGACTAATGGCAGACACAAGTCACATCGTACCCAGCCTTTGTGCAATCTGGGGGTGTCATGCTTCAGCCAGTGGTGGGGAGGGCTTGGGGGTGGTGTGTGCAGAGAGCGGAGATTTTCAGTGATGTGGTCGCAATTGTTAGCCCATCTCTTCTGATCTCATTTTGTCTGCTTTGTACTTTCTTCTCGACAAAAGAAAATCTAATGATAGTTTTTGTTCAATGCCACTTAAATACACTTAACAACGACTGAGGTGCTTAATTATAATTTTTCTTGAAAGTGTTGATGGATGTCTCGCATTCACCTCGAAATATTAAACCACTTGCTGTCTGCACTTTGGTCAACTATTGGTGAGTTATTAAAAGCATCACTTAATAAGGAATTTGGTGCTACATGTCAACATCATGTAATTTTTTTGTCACATCATTACATGTTTGCATGTAAATCATAGAGAAAATTCAAGCAAAATAAAGATGGTTTGGATTCATTGCATATTTGCGTGGAACCCAAAACTAATGCAGATTCAAATAAAAATGCATTCAGTTTACTTAACAGAATGCAAATGGTTCACAGAAAACATTTTTTATTCAGAGAAAAGGTTAGACAGAATCTGACAAGTCTTGTGGTTTTTGCCATTCAAATGAACACTGTATGCACGTCTATCATAGACATGATTTTACAGCACGGAACCTTGAATATCTTAGGCTAAAGGAATTAGGTAAAAAGGAGCCATTGTTCCTCAGCTACTTTCTATAATTGGTGCCAGATTCATAATCTCAAGTCTGATATTACAACACTTGTAACAAGATCCAGCTCCCATCTGAAAAGTACTTGGGAGCTTTGCTGAACAAGGTGAAAGCCCAGGTGGTTGTAATATTATCTCTTTTTGCTCAGGGCTGTGGGAGAGCGCTACCGGAAAGAGATGCTGGCACATGGTGGTGGAAAGGTGCCCATGATCATGGTGGAAGGTAAAACACGCCTTTTTATTTCTATTTCAGTGAGATTTTCTTGCAATAATCTCTCTGTGGGATTGCTTTCTGAAGCATTTATTAGAACATTAATGTTAATTGTGTACAGAATTTGAAAGACTGCAAATTTAGTAGGTTAATGCCTAATTTTCTTGTATATTTTAATGCTGGTTATTGATACATCCCTTGTGCCAAATATAATTTGTCTTCCATGTTTAATATGCACAACAAATTGAAGATGAGTAGCATAACTGATTTATCAGTGTGTTGTGTTTATGATATCTCCCGTGCCTCCAGTATAAAGTTAGCAATTGTGTAATGTTATTTCCTGATGTAATGCACAAAGGCCATGGGTATATTGAGGCCAGATGTGTATTATATATAAGGTTATACCTTAATATATTAATATACTATGTTATTGAGGCCATAGGTTCTATTTGTGCTATTTGCAAGAACAACACAATGGATGCTGATTTCCCACAAATCAGACTGCATGAAACTTTGCCCTTGTATCCTGCAGCATTTCATCTTATTTGGTCAAGGTTTAGCAGAAAACTTGTGTATCCTGCTTACTCAGTTACTGATGCTGAAATTTACTGGTGAAATTGAACTGGGTGTATGTAAATACCTCATGTTTCTAGGCTGTTGAGTTTGCTACAGCTGTCATACTGGAACTGGGATTAGAGGTACAATCTGAGATATTTTAATGGTACTTGCAAAGTAAACCTTGTGGTGTTTTCCAGCCTTGTATATTTCTATGAATGTTCTAGTCCCCTAATATACTCTTAAAGAAATGTTCTTATCAACATGAAAGGTTCAATTCCTCATTCTTTATTCAAATATTTAAAAAAATAAAATCAGATTATTTTGCTTGACGTATTCAGATGAGTAAAACGGAGTTCAGCAAATAACAATGCGTTCTATAGTTTTAAAGGTATAGGAGCCAGAAACTTGTCATTACATGAAAACACTGTGGTTGTTCCTCACTTCTCCGAGGGAGTGTCTGTAAAACAATAATTTCTTTAATCATACAAAGCCAATCTCTTCATTGTTAACTCCTGACGACAATATTCATTCCAGACAAGTGTATTTAATGTGCCATTTGGAGACAGGCTAGATCATTGAAAAATGTTGCTTTCAAGTGTTTATTTGCTCCAGTTAATTGCACCAAATACAGAAGAACCCTGTAGTTTACACGTTTTACATAGAATGTATGGCATGGAAACAGCCATTCAGTCCAACTAGTCCTGCTGATGTTTATACTCTAAATGAGTCTCCACCCAATCCTTACTCCCTCCCATGTTCTTCTTTTCTCTTTGTGCTATAACATGCTGTTTCACTTACATAAATCCAAACATTGGGGCATAAAGCCAAGGTGGCTGGAGCAATATCATCTTCCTGTGTGCTGTGAATGTGCTAATTCCTGAAAGTGACATGGCCAACTCCTGAGTCAACAGATGGCTGCCGATGTCACTGTCTGTACCCTGCACATGTATGTTGCACGCAGGAATTGATTTTGGTAGTGACATGACAACTTGAAAGTCACCCATACTTAGCACAAAAGAAGCCAGTTGGTCTATTCACCAAAATCAACTTGAGGTCCACAGGGCACGTGTCTCATATTCAAACTTGCCTTGTAAGATAATAATAGTAATAATCCTTGCTTTTGATATAATGCCTTGTCACGTTGTTGAGACGTTTCAAAACGCTTCACAGAATATACTGTAAAGTGAACTGACTGTGTATTTTGTGGACGAAACACGGCAACCAATTGCTCAAGCAGTGACCCGCAAACAGTCGTGTAGTGAGTGACCAAATAATAATAATTTATTATTACTGTTAGGTAAACAGACATGTGGAGTAAGGAAACTTGCCTAGGTTTTCGCCCCGGGTCCTCCCACAGACGGTGCCTCATAACAAGGTTCTACTGTATCATTAAAATCTGACCTGACTTGTTAAAGTCTACTGTGTCCAGTAAGATATTTTGAATGAGCTAATAACTTTGGTTCTTTAGCTTTCAGTTAAAATGCTTATCTGAGGTCCTTCTGCTTTTTAAAATTGATGTTGAAGATATCATGACATTATTTGAAAAGGGAAGGAAGTTTCCGTTGGTGCTCTGGCCAACAGAGATGCTCCTGTCAAGAAGCTTTTATAATACATTTGTAATCTTTTCATCATTCTAAAACTCTTGAAAGAATAATCAAAAGGCAATCTGTGCCACCATTGTCTTTCTGTCCTGATTCTCTGATCTGGTGCTTGCGTTATGAAGGGCAATCTAGCACCTGACAGTATAACTGAGTTCTCAGCTAGGAGACAGTGCTTAAAAGTAGTGATGAGGTGGAACCAGGCTTCTGCACGTATTCAGAACCATTTTGAGTTTTGGAACACTCCAAAAATACAGGCCTTAAGGTAAATGGTAATACCTAAGAGTATACACAGGAAGGTGAAACTCGTTAAAGAAATGGCAAAAACAAAGTTAGTCCTTTCTTAATTAAGTTCCCCAGCACTGCATTTGAGTGTCAGCCTGGACCATGAGCTCAAAGTTCTGAACTGGGGCTTGATCTCAAGGCCTTTTGACTCAGCAGCAAGAGTTGCTAACTGAGGGAGACCAACGCCTCTAATTTTCCTTCAACTGAGGTACCAAAGACCCAGTGTCCGCAGATACCCACCTCCTGGCAGAGGTCTCTGAATAGAAACCAGTGGTGGAAACGTTGTGTTCTCTTACTTCTTTCAACTGTTATGCCTTGAACAGCTGCCCTGACAAATTATCTGACACAGCCTAGAACTGGGATTCTACGGTTTTCTGGTCTTCTCTTCTTCGACTATGCTTTCGGTCACCCTCCTTCCCCCCACCCTGCCCTCCACATCTCCCCGATCCCGACCCCCAGCTCGGTTCCGAAACACTGATTGTCCTCCCGATGTGAAAGGCGCTATACAAATGTATTTTGTTTGTTTGTTTGTATGGCAAACTGCTCATCGGTCAGCGCCTTTTCCCATTAGATCATTGAGGGAGCTAGCTTAAAGATTTCTAATAAGCAAATTTTAGAGATTGTGCCTAGATATGTGAATACTTCTTGATACAATTTCCCTCTTCCTGTCCCACATTTTCAGTTATTCTCCTGAGTGAGGATGTAGCTCAATAGCAGCTTTTGCCCATCTGTGAGCTTAGACAATGAGTACCAGCAGGCGACTGAACTGCATCCAAGGCTGAGCCGCTCCTCACATTCACAGGTGCACTTTCCAGAAAAGGGAGGAGGTCACTGAATGGTGATCAAAGTTGTCCTTTTTCTTTTATCCTAACCACATTGAAATAGTGAAAATCTGAAATCCCTCGAAGGGATTTGGAGGGGAAATGCAGAGCACGAGACCATTTAAATCTGGCAGAGTTAGCATTTTCAAAGGTAGCTTGCCCTGTAATGGAAGAGGAAAATTTACCAATCCTTCTACTAACATCTGTTTTGTGTAATGGTGGAAGTGGCTATGAACCAGTATAATTAACTGACCTTTACATGATACTCAGCAGTGGCTTTAAACAATAATGTTTTCTTTGAAGTCTAAAATAAAGGAAATACATTTTTAAGCCTCTTAACATGGTGGTCTTTTGATCCTGGATTGACCTTATGTGGGCGACATTACCATTATTAATGATCTGAGGATTCAATGAAATAGAAAGAAGAATGCAAATCATAAACTTCCTGTTGCAACTTTGTTGTTTAATATGATATTGTAATTAAGTTTTAAATATATTTTTCCAATTTCCTTTATCTTGTTCAAAACATGTACTTCCAGAGGTGAGAGCTTATTTTGTGGGAGGCATAAACGGGTTTTAAAGTGGATTGTTGCCTTTGACAAAACGTCTAAACAACAATAATAATAATTTGCACTCTTCCACCTCTCAAGCCGGATAATGTCTCAGAGTACTTTACAAAGACACAGGGTGGGTCAGGAAGGCAAAGGTGCAGTCACAGAGAAGTTTTTAAGTCCAATTTTGAAGCGGGAAAGGAGAGAGGTGGTGAGATTTAAAGGAGAAAGCTTCAGAGAACGATGGCAAAGAGTCTGAAAGCATGTAGAATGGAGGGCACAAAAAAATATAGGATGGCAGGTAATTGTAGACGTAGGGTGAGGCAAGTCCGTGGAAGTATTTCAATGTAAGAGTTAGGTTCTTAGTTATTTTACATCTGCGAATTCCACCTGTAATGCTATAATTTAATTCAACTTGTTGGATTTCAGACCCTCGTGTCCTATACCATTCATAAGAATATAGGTCAAATGGGGTGTGGTTATAATGGCAGCTTTATTCATTGAAGACAATTGAACACAAATCAAAATATCAACCAATTGCCGTTTTAATTGTCTACAGTGAATAATATGTCTGTGTAATAGAGCTGGGGTCCACCCAGATTTCTTATTACCTTGAAAACCATTTTAATAAAATTTGACTGGGATTGGAGGACAACATACTACTGGACATTCTTGACTGCTTGCTTTACTTTTTGGAGACTGATTTACTTTGAAAACTTTGTTTCCAGCGCATGGAAATAATGTTAGACTTCGTATATGGATATCGATTCATATCCACTAATTTAAAATCATTAGATTTTCAGCAATTAATTGACTTCTATTAGCTCCCTTTTCAACTGCTGCAATAGATGATGCACAACCTAACTCAGCACCAACCAGTTATTAAACTTCATACCGTTTTTTGGCTTAGTACCACATCACCTGGTATATTTATTTACCTATTGAACAGCAGGAGAATGGAATTTCACAAATTATAGCTTGTTTTTCATAGACTGTTCAGTTGTAATATGTTGTCCCTCTAAATATATTGGTTTTCCCACTGGGTGGTAAACTGATATGCATCGCATCATACCAATCCTTGCATTTGATATAATGCCTATAATACTGAAAAGTCTCAAAGTGCTTTTGGGTAATTCACAAGTATTTGGAGATAATCTTAAATGCAGCAGCCATTTTGTTCAAGTAAGAGCGAAAGATCA